AAACATATATATATATAAAGATTTTAAAAAATTAATAAAGATATAAGCAAGATCTCATCTTAATACCAAAAAAAAAAAAAGTAAAACTATTCAAAGTAATTAGAAGATAAAAATTTTGAGTAAATTAAAAGTATTTAAAAAAATATAAAAATATTTAAATATATTAAAATTAATTTAAAAAATATGAAAAAGCAATTAAAATATTAAAAATTAATAAATAATATTAAAAGAATTTTAAAATAATTAAAGCATTCAAAATTAAAATAAATAAAAATCAAATTTTGATTATATTAAAACAGTTTAAAATAATGTGAATTTATTTTAAATACCTTAAAATTATTTTAATAATAAAAATAGGATGATACTATTTGTACTCTTTCACTCTTACTAGTTATATCTCCTTCTATATAAAAAATATTTTAGTTAATTTTTTATTTTTTTTAGTATATTATTTATTTTTTTTTTTTTTAATAATAATAATAATAATAAGTTTATATAATATGTAGTATATCTACTTATTAAATATTAGACTATTGTTAGGTTTAGGTTACAGATTATATATCTGAGTTTTTATTCTTTATATATAATTTAAAAGCAAGCTTTTCTTTGTAAAAACTTCAATTTAATTTCAATAAAGTTAAAGGCATGACCTCACTGTTAATATTTAAAAAAAATATATTAGACTATTGCAACTGCTCATACCTGTTTTTACATACTTAAAAAAAATAAAAAAATAACAATATAGCTAATTTAGATCATAATCTAATGCTAATGCTAACTGACAAAACTGATTAATTAAAATTGCAAGTAATTTGCAAATATAACTAAAGTTATAAATAATTCGTTCAAAGTTAGTATTATGAATAGGGAATGTAGCCTAAGCTAAGAATAGTTCAAACCATAAATGTAACATATAGAAAATATCAATAAGGTATGTATAAGCTAGTTTGGTTAGATTTATAACAATATAGCTTAACAGATTAAGGTGTACAATATCAAATAATCAACAAACTGTTAATGTGCATATAAATAAAGCTAAAAATTTTCTAAAATTCAATCAAAGCATATGTGAATTTTGAATTTTTATTACTTTTAAACCAGTATGTCTACTTAGATAAAAATATAATTTTTAAATTTCTCTTAGCATGCTTTATAATGCTATAAACATCTTTTTATTTTATTAACATCAACTGTGTTTTGTAGTTAATTTCGCTTTAAAATAGATAAAATTAAAAAAAAAAATGGCTCTGTAGTATTATAAAGAAAACTAAAGATTATATTTTATCTGCATAGGCACTGATTTCAAAGTTCAGGTTTTAAAAAATTAATTATACATATGTACTTATTTGATATTGCATACTCTATTAACAGATGCAAATTATATTCTAGATAAGTATCAAGATTAATAAGCATAGCATTATGTGCAGTACATACAGGTTCAATACTAATCCTAATGCAATTGTGCAACTATTAGTAATTTACAAAATCTATGCTATGTATATATACATGCAGTATTTATGACAGCAATATATTTACAACTTAACATTAACAGTTACTAATAAAAGTGAATTAGATTTTAGTTAAGCAAGTACTAGCATAGTGTCTAGTCTGTTTGCAGAAGGTGCATTACCTTACTCTATGTTCTATTAATTCAAACCTAAAAAGATTTCTTTTGGTTAAATTATCTGTTCTGTGATTAGAGAAACCAGAAGGTCTTTCTTTAGTATAAACAACTTGAGAATTCTGCAAAACTGCTGTTGAGATATTAATAATGCTGTTTAATTTTTTATAAGCAGTTGCTTGCTGGTGTTCTGGCCATTCTTCATACCTTTCTTGTAAAGTTTGCAAAAGAGGCTGCAATTTATTGTTTTCTTTAATAGGTAGTATTAGTAAGCAGTTTTAAATTCATCAATATTTATGAAAATCATTAAGTATTTAGTTTTGATGATTTTTAAAAGGTTGAATTTTATGAGCATATGGTAGTCCTATTGTGCTTAAGAAAGATCCAGTACACAGTAAAAAGATTCTTGTATAATCTTCTGATACTGCTCTTTCATCTTTTTAAGAACAAAAGTTAAAACTTTATTCTTAATATTTTCATATAAGGAATTATTTTGAGCAAAAATTGGAAAGCAAATTTTTTCTGATGCTGCCATAATATCTATTTCTTTTTTTTGATTTTTTACTGCTAAAGAAATTTTTATATAGACATTACAATAATCTCCTGCTAATGTACAAAGATATATTTTAATAATTGCATATGCACCTTCAATTTGGAAAGTAATAGTTGTTCCTAAATAAAAAAGTTGTTTGTCTATACTTTTATATATTTTTCTTTTTAAGGCATTCAAATGTCTTCAAAATAGCTTATAACATTGGGTTTATTTGAATAATTATTATAAAACTCATTCTATTTTATATTGAATTCTTCTTTTGTTAGTAATTGAACAATCTTATTCTATTTTAAAAAAAAGGTTTGTTATTCATTATCTTTGAATTGTGATTTACAGTTCTTTATTATATTTTTATTAATATGCCACAAATATAACAAATTAGTTGAATTTGGAAAGATTGTTCTAAGAGTATTCATAAAAGCTAGCTCTTTATCTGTTACTATAACACCAGGCTGTGTTATACCATTAAACAATTAGACAATGCAATTTAATGCCCAGAGATAATCCTCTTCATCTTCATCTTTTATAAAAATAAAACATGAAAAAAAAGTAGTGTTGAAACAGATTATTCCAACAACATTTAACAAAGGCATTTTAAATTTATTTATCTTATAGGTACAATCTATAAGAAAAACAGATGAATATCAATGAGTAAGCTTTATTGATTCTTTATGTATAAAGAAAAGATAAATAATTTGACTAATATCATTATATTTGTATTTATACATATAATCACCTTCTTTATGCTCATTTTTTATGCTTCAACTGGAGTATAACCAGCTAACTTTTGTTGATGAAGTTATTTACATGCATTATAAATATCTTTACTTTTCACAAATGCTAATAGATTATTTTGAAGAATAGTTGATATAATTTTCTGAAGATATGAGTCAGAAGAAGTTATTTTTGTAACATTGCTAATAATTGCTCTGTAAGTTGATGAATTATTGGATGTTCTGATAAGTTTTCAGAAGAATTATTGTTATAATCACTATTATGAACCTCTTTTATATACTATTTACTATCAAGTTGAATAGTCTTTAACTTAAAAGAACAATTGATTAACTGAGTACTTGTTTGCCTTTGTTGTGTTCTGAAGCTTTTATATATTCCTTCTTGATCACAACACAATGTTATATTTTTTAACTTACTATATTAATTTTTATATATTTTTTTTTAACCAACACATAACCTTGAGAATTAGCAAATGCTTAAACATTTTGAAGAAGTTTATTAGCATTTTTATATATTTTAAAAGATGGTAGTAGCATACTTGTAGTTATAATTTTATTTTAAAAAATAATAGAGAAGTGGTTTATTTTTTTTTAAAGTTTAATAAAAGCACTTATTGCACTTACTTCTTTTTTTAGTTTATAAATACCATTATTACTTTATTTTTATGCATCTTATAATGATGCTTTACTATTATTTATTACTAATTGGTTCTTTACTGATTAATGCATCTCAAAATATATCATTAATTAATATCAATGCATATGAATGCTACAAAGAAAAAATAAAGCTTTAGACTTTCAATTTATTATTTGTTAGTTATTAATTCAGTTTATAAAAAGTTTAATTATATACATTGCTATAGGGCTGAATCTTATAAATAATAAATATTAAAAGCCCAGAAGTCTTATTTTCTTTGTAGTATTCATATAAGATATAGCTAATAATAATAATGTTAATATACAAGATATTTATAGAATAAAACAGTGAAAATATATCATATTGAACCAAAATAAAAGTATCTTACTAAAGGAGGCTTTGGCACTATTTTTAAGGCAGTATGGATTAATAGATATATTACAGGATTTAATTATCAGAAGAATAAATGAAAAAGATGTTTGTAAATAAGTATTTGTTTAAAAAGTTTTGATAATTTTAAAAATAAAACAAATTCTTAGAAGTAAGTAAGTATTATAATTAATTTTGCTGCAGATGAAGCTAAAAATTTTAAATATGAAATTTTCAAAATTTTTTAGAGTATATTTTTTAAACTTTTTTTAATTGAGAGCTCTAATTTCTAGCTTCAGCTATAACACATTTATTATAATTAAAGTTTAGTAATCTTACCTATTATAATTAATATTTGTTAGATTGGAAATTAATATAAACATAAAGCAATTCAGCAATTGCAATTTATGAAATAACTAAAAGCCCAAAAGATGGTAATTATATAATTATCATAAAGCATGCAAAGCAAGAAACTCTTTGAAAATTATTAGATAGTAAAAATAATAAACTAGATTGGGCTTCTAAATAAATTGAAATGATTAAATATAGTAATACATCTAATATTACTTTAAGAATTTTAACAAGATTATTTTTCTATGTTATCAATCAGAATATAATCTAATTTAGATATTTATTCAATCAAGAACTGGTAGTAAATTTTATAACTATATATACTAGTTTTTTTAGTAATAGGATCTTTGCTAGAAAAATCACCTTCTGACATTTTCCTATCAGGTTAATTTGAACAAACTTAGACCAATATATCAGTTCTTATTTCTTTTATCATTTCAAAAGTTTATCAGTCATAGGACATGTTTCTCTCTAATAATTTTACTAGTAATAATTTTTATGTAACATATTCAAACATAACTTTTTTTTGAAATACTTTTTAATTAAATAATAAATGATATTTTAACCTTAGACAAGTTTTATTTTTTGAGCTTTGTACTTTTATTTTATATAAAAATTGTCTATATTATTTTATTTTATATCTAATAAAATTAAACTTGAAAACTGCAATTTTCTAAGACAAATGTTATGATTTTCTTTAATATATTGTAAAATAAAGTTAATTTTACTTTGTTAATGACTACAAAAGAGGAGCACTACAAAACTCATTAAGAGTAAAAAGGCACTTTAGTTTAGGTTTTATAATGTTTGCTAGAAGATAACTTTTTTAATAATATAGATCTAAGTTAATTTGTAATCAAATGTGTTCTTTATTTCATTTGTAGACTTTACTAAAATGATCAAAAGAAGTACTACTTTGTTTGAAAAGATCAAACAAGAATTTGAAAACTAATTATATTTTTTTAATGAGTGCTGCTAAGAAAAACTAAACTTAACTATAGAGAATTGTATTAAATCACATATACAGTCAGACCTCTCTAAATGCACTGTGGTGAGACTATATAAAAAAAATTAGTCAAATATGCATTTAGAGAGATAAAAATTTAGAGGTGTTATATTAGTTGGGTCTTAATAGAATATGTACTTTGAGAGGCTTTTCATAAAGCATATATTTAGAAGGTTTCATTTAAAGAGGACTAACTATATTCACTTGTGAGTTTTCACTCATATAATAAGTAGAGTGCTTATATGCAACAAACTACTGGTAATTCAAAAAATTTATAAAATTTTAGTTATATTTATTAATTTGTGTTTTAAAGTTTTTAATTTTAGATAAACAAGAAGTTTGTTAAGTGAATATAAAAAAAAGTCATGTATTTTAATGAATTTATTTTTTTACTTCTGATTTGTATACAAATAATATTTCAATACTAATATTTATTTTTAAATATTCTTTTGCCAGTTATTTCTCCAATACATTTTAACTTTTTTTTCTGTCCAGTCTGAAGAAACTGTTTGAAGTTCTTCTAGTACTTTAGTAAATTCAATTTCAGATACATTGTTCCCAAATTTGAATAGTTGCACAAGTATACTTTTCTTTATGTCTGTAGTAATATGACATGACCATTTTAATGAATTAGTTAACATTTGTTATAATACTAAAGTATCTTGTTGAACAATCTGTTCTTGATCAGGATTATCTGCTCGAACACATTTTTGTTTTTTTATACTCTTCAATTCAGAAAAATAACAATTTACACTTGGTATATGATGTTTAAAAGTTCAGGACTTAGTTTTATATATATCCTCTTCAAGTATTTCTTGAAACCATAATTTACCAGTTTCATAAAAAGAAAAAATATTTTTAATGCCCTCTTTATTAAATTTAGGTACATCTTTGAACAAATAGTGCTCTGTAGGATTTGGATGATCAAAGACAAATAATAACTTTTCAACTAGTGTTTAGAGTGAATCTTTTCGTAACTTGATTGCATGAATATTTTGACTTATTACAACATCATCAACATATTTTGCTAGAAGTATTAATAGATGATACCTTTCACTTTGGACAGCTTTGATTTTTAACTTCATAGTTTCCTGGTTGGTGACATTACTAGTAATGTTTTGCTTGATAAATTTTACACTATATGTTTCAAGTACTTCATCAAAGATGAAATAATATCCTTCATTTGTGAGATTTACTAAACACATTATTTGTAATAAATTTTACAACTCTGGATTATTATAAACCTGAACCAAATAGTGTGCCATGGAACTTGCGTATCTAAACTTTCTAGCCACAGGAAAAAAAGGTGCAAACATGGCCAAATTTGCCATTTGCATTTTGTAATTTCCTCTTCTAATTCCAATTTTGTGGCCTATAAAATGTCCTGTTCAATGAAAAAAGAGATACTACACCTTTATTAGATAATTGTTGCTATTTAAAATATCATTTATTGTTTTCTTTTCTCATTTAACATGCTTACATAATGCAACTTTAAATATGACCCAAATCAATTCTAAAACATGGCATATAGCTCAATAATCTACTACATGCTCAAACTTGTCCAAATATCATATTTCGAGAGATGCTGCAAGGTTAAATATTCTATACTTAGTAAATATTGTAATTAAAGTGCTGCATATGTCTTTAAATGTATGCCATTGTCCCAAAAGAAGTCAAATGCCATGGTGAGTTTCTTTATAAAAAATTAATCTTCTAAAAATTGCTTGATCGCATGCAATATATAGATGCTTATTACAACCACAAGGCAAATCATCATAATACATTTCATATGCTGTATGAACATTATAGTTGCAATTATGAAGATCACTAGGTTTTAGTATTACAACTTTTAATGATAAAAGCTTGCAACCTACAGGTATTTGTTCAACAATTTCAAAATATACATCTTTTATTTTAAAGTTATTTGTACAATTATTTAATATTCTATTTAAAATAGTTTCATACATTATCAAAATATTGTTGATAGTCAAAAATTTTTCAAATAATGATTAATTAGAATATTTGTAATCTTTAGTTAGATAATCAAGTGAAGTGGGGAGAGTAAACTGGAATGTTATTTGTAATGTTGCATATGAAGTCTGTCTTGTAATATCAAAAATATTGCCATATGAGAATGTAGAAGCTTTAAAGTTAATATTGTCAATTACTATCAGATTTTATTGTTTAATCCTTTAATTAAGTTATTTCTAGGGTCTATATATTGCATTCTTAATTTTTTAAGGTGACTTTTATGCTGCTTGGTGTATGAGATAACATGTGCTAAATAAAGAATCTTTCAGAAGCATAGTAATAATTTTGGATTCTGGCATATTAATAACATAATGCTTGAAAGCCAGAATTCTGTTCTAGAAAAAGTAATGATAAGTAGCATTAAAGTTAGTAGTGTAGTAGTTTTTGATACTTGGCTTGTATTATGTGATTTTAGAAGAAGTTCATGTTGAAGCCTCTTATTATTAACTATTTTTTGTTTATATTATTGCAGTATTGTAAGAAGAGCTTAAAAAAAGTTATGAATTATAGTAGGCAATGCTTCGAAATAGTCTTTATATGAGCTTGGATTTTCTAATCGATTTTTATTATTTTTAATTTTAGTGTGCAAATATAAAATTTCTTTTTCTAATCTTTCTTCTATTGATAAGGTCTTTTCTGAAGTTAGAGATTTTTTCTTAGTTAACCTATTCAACTTATTTAGTTCAACCTTTTCAATTTTATTACTATTGTGCAAAACAATTTACTTGGAAATTTTACTATTTCTGATTCTGATGAATTTATATTTATTATTTCATCATTAGAAGTAGTTAATATTGAAAATAGCTAGGATAAAAATCTTTCTTGCAACTCATGATTGTGGACTCTGCTACTGATATTATCTATTTTTCAATAAGCATTAGAACATCACTTATATCATCATAATGCTTTTCTTGTTTAATACATGAGATGTGTGTACTACCTCTATCATGTTTATTATACAAATATTCTCTATTTAGTTGAAAGCATTCTGAGCAGATGTAACATGCATGATAGCCAGAAGATGATTTTTTTGTTATATATTTCTCAGAAAATACAAGACAGTCAAAAATACTAATACAAGGTACTTGAATGTTCCATCTATTGATATTTCATGAATGGTCTATACAATAGTTTTTATGGCTAAAGAAACATTTTTTCTTATCACGGAAGAGACAAATACAAAAATAAATAGTGCTTTTGTTGAATGGCTGTAATTGTTTCATGTCTACATTATGAAGTTAATTCTGATCAAATAGGAAATAATTGTAGCAAATGCCAAGTTGAGAAAGATTCTTAGTGCTTCTAATTGCTTGTCATAATCAGTGTAGGTTTGTTGCATTATTGTAGTACCTTTCAACTGCATTTGCATATACTTCCTATGTTCTATCATTTGTCACAATTATCACAGGTTTGTTGTACTGTTGCAGTACTTTATCTTGCTTTAAAAATTATCTATAATTACACATGATGTCAATTTTAGAGTTTTCATAAAAGTCTCTTCAATTTCTACATCTCTTTTCTCATCCAATTTTGAGAAAAGCTCATTATAAGAATCAGAAATTTCAGATTTGATTTTATTCAGATTAATGTCTTAACTTTCATCATCATATAATAAAGCTTGTATGCTTTTAATAACAATCAGATTTATAGTAAACTTTTCTTTATAGTTTTCTTCAGAATTGGATTCTTCCAAGTAAGACAAGTTGATAATAGAATCTTCTTCATAACTTTTTCCTAAAATATTAAATTCCTCAAAATAAGTAGATTCAAAATCAGTTATTGTTATTAAAATATAGTTGTAAACTAATCAATTGATGAAATTTATTTACTATTTTATGAATTAAATTATATCACTAGTTAGATTGTTTTTACAAAATTAATATTACAAGACTTATATTTTAACAGAAACTGATGTCTCAAGATGAGATTATTTATATTTTTATATTTTTTTTTTTTTACAAACTTTAATATTTTACAACACATTTATATACTAATAGCATTTTCAAATATAACAAGATAGCAATTCGACCAGTCTTAAGCTTTTTCTAATTTTAAACCATTTTGTTGAAACAAATAGGTAATAATAGGGTAAACCATCTTTAAAATGTATTGCAAGAACAAAGTATATTCGTTCAGATAAAACCTTTTTAAAATGCCATAATGATTGCATAACCATTTCATTAATTATACTGCATTTTGCATAATTAACTTTGTGTATTATTGAACAGAAGGAAATGTTGATGTTACATAGTTGATTTTACACTCAATGTGAAACATATAAAAAATTTTTTTACAATACTTTAATGATTTTGATCAGTTAGCTAGGAGATATTTTAATTATAATCTAACACCATTTTTATTATAATAAAAATAGTATTGGATTATAATCATAACACCTCCTAGCTGACTGATCAAAATCGTTAAAGTATTGTAAAAAAATTTTTTTATATGTTTCACACCAAGTGTAAAATCAATTATATAATATCAATGTTTCCTTCTATTGTATTATTGTGCATTGCTTTGTATATTAGTTTAAAACAAGGGCTGATTTTATGATAAAATGTGTTGTTTCTTTGATTAACTAACAAAGAATTTACTACATCAAAGAATCACATCAAAGGATTCAAAGAATTTAACATAATCTTATATAATCATGCATGGAGTGCATTATTTCAAGATATTCATGAATATTATTTTAAAACTATGCATGCTGCTTTGAGAGTATACAGCTTTTTGAATAATTTTTTATGCTTATTATCAGTTATTTTGCAGAAACATGGTATTTTTAAGAAATTGTATAACAACAAATAATCAAATAGAAATTTTAAATAAAAAAATAAAACTATTTTGTATATTTGAATTAGAAGGCTTTATTCATTATAATATCCATTTTACAAATGACTATGTTCAATATTATATTTTTTTCAATACAGTATTACTCTTATTTATTTCTAATATATAAAATGACAATATGATATTAAAAATCACATGGATAATGAAATATAAACTACACAATGAAATATAAAACTACACAATAAAATATTAACTGTACAAGAAAATATGAATTCTATGTAACAAAATACAAATTACACAAGTGTGATTCTGCTCTTAAATTTATTTGTTAACTAACTATCTTCTAAGCATTAAAAAGAAGATATGCTATTATGATCAAATGAGAATTGTAACCTGTATATAAGGTTGTTAATAGGTTGGGTTGGGTTAAACAATTCCTTAACTCACTCTAGCTTACTTCAGAACTACTCTAGACTTACTTAGAGCTGATTTAGTTCATTTCAGATTTTTAGTATATTCAACTTGGACTAGGCTCACTTTGGAGCAGCTCTAGAGTATTCCAATCTATTAACAACTCTATTTATATGTTTTATTGCAAGCAAAAAAATATTAAATTAGTAAAGATATAAAACAAACTTCTCTTATATGGAATGTTTAAATCCCTAACCAATATTTTCTAATATTATTAAAATAGTTTGTAGATTTCTGAAAATTCATGTTGTTAGGAAAGGGATACTGTAAAATCATGCTACTAGAAAGGTAAAGCTAAGAGAAATTGTTAATAAAGAAATGAAACTAAGAAATCATATTGCTAGGAAAATAACTCTGAAAAATCATATTAAGGAAGTGAAGCTGAGAAATTAGGAGTAAAGCTAAGAAATTATATTATTATAGAAGAAATTGTGTTGTTATAAAAATAAAACTGAAATTGTGTTGTTAGAGAAGTGAAGCTGAGAAAATTGAGCTGTCAATAAGATAGTTGTTGTAAATTAGATTAGAGCTGTATATATTAACATATATATTACTGAGATTAGTATACTCTAGATTTAAATAAAGATTTTCTTCAAACTAGAACTTATTAAGAACTAAAATTTCATAATTTAATAAAGAAATATCTGAACTATTTTTTTGACTTAAAGGGCTATAGTCAAACAGTTTTACAAATTTGGGACTACAATATAAAAAAACCTTTTGTAAGAATAAAATTTTAATATAAAAATTGAATGATCAATATTTAATTTATTATATGAACAACATTTGAAACTTCTGCAAAAGAACATGTTTTATGATTATTATCAAATAAACTATTGGATCAATAAAGACAAAAGATACATATAAGTAAAAACTAATAATATGTTGGTTTAAGTTTGTCTGAATTGACCTGATCAGAAAATCTTAGTAATTTTTCTAGTAAAAATTCTATATAATATATCATAAAACTTTTAATTATATATAGCAACACAAATTAATTAAGAAACAAAGAAATTCTTTATATTTTATATAGGATAATTCTGGTTAATTTAATTATTTAATCTAATATATACAAAGATTTCTATATAACTCATTTATGAACTGTATTTAAACTTTCATATAGTATAATTTCATTTATACACATATGTTAAATTTATGTACTACTTACTATATGCATAAATAAATAACTTTTAGAATTAAGATTTGGTATTTGGCATAATTAAGTACTGGTATTTATATTTAGTATCAGTATTGAGAACCAATTACATTGTTGAAATATAAGTTTATTCATTCATATAATTTGAAGTTTATAACTTAATGTTAGATTTAACTTATTATATTGTATATGCTCTTATGTATTTAACAATAACAAACCATTATAAGAAAAATAGTTATCAGGAATATGAGATTTATAGTTTTATTTCAAAATCTTGATATTTCAAATCCTAATACTTAAAATCTTGAAAACAAAATCTTAACAGTACTAAAATTTTGATAGATTAAATCTCAACAATACTAAAATTTTATACCATATCAGAATTTTAGTTTTGTTAAAATTTTAAATCTCAAAATTCTGAGATAAAACAAAAATCTACTAATTTGGATAATGAGCATTGCTATTCATACCTCCTATCTTTGCTATTTATACTCTCTTTATATAAAAGTATTATATAATTATGTTGTGTTAGATGAATATAATAATATATTTTTAGTTACAAATGATTTATTATATAATTTTATTTAATTAGATATTATAAAATTATTATGCAATAATAAATCAAAATAATGTTTTTTATATGAAAGGAGTATGAATAGCATAAATAGAAGGTATAAAAAGTAATTTACTATTTTATTTATATAATAATATGACAAAAAAATTTTAATTATAAAACTATAATTATATGTAAAATTTTATTCTGAACAACTGTATCTGAAAAATCAAAAGTAAGTTATCTTAGTAAAAAAATAAGTTTACTATATAATAAATGTAAAATTTATAGTTTTCTATATAAACTTTTTTTTTACTAAGAAAATCTATTTTTTGTTTTTAAATAAACTTGTTCAGAATAAAATTTTACATTATATTAGTAAAAAAAAATTTTTAATGTAACAAATCGGGTAACTGTTATCAAGTTAACACATTTGAAAATAGTATATAGTTAAAAAATTCATTGGATATATTTCTGTTATGCGATTGTAATAAAGTTTCTTAACATATAATAATAAATCACATGTGTTTGTTGTAAATGGGAACGAAATTAAAGTAAATTTGGAATTTCTTAATAAAATTATAGTTTTGGAATAAATTTTATTCTAAATTTACACCATAATCCTAGAATCCTAAGAAATTCCAAATCTACTTAAATTCCATTCCCACATACAACTACGTTGATTATCATTAACAGGGCTTTAGACCGTATGTATTGGGACTTTGGATTTAAAGAAAAGTAAGTTTTATAGTAAAAAAAGCAAATAATCATATTTTTAATATAGAAACGTTTTATTATTAAATTCTATGAAAGCTCTTATGATTCGCAATAAGCAATCCCTTATACAGATCTTTCATTAATGCAAAGAAAAGAAAAGATTGCATGTAAATGAAGCAATAATATCTGACAGTAAGAAAAACGTAGTAATAGTTGCACGAAGGTATAGTAAAAATATATAGTTAACTAATTATAATTTAGAAAGAGGATCATTGCGAAAACGTAATAAGATTTACATAATCTCTACGAATAATCACGTAAATCGATCATGTGATTATAAGGAGTACACCACAGTGCGGTGCATAATTTTATAAAACCCTAACCTTTTTATATCATTCAACAATTATTCTTCTTCATCCATTGGTAAATCAGCAGGCTTCACAAGCCCTGGAATCTTCAATGCATTTTCCATTGCCGTCTTCTTCTGAAGCTCAGCTTCAGCCTCCCGTTCCTCTAGATACAAATCGGCATTATCTCCAGCAAATTCTTTAAGTTGAATTAGAAAGTCACGCATGTGCAATTTAAATTTAGCTAAGTCTTGTTGGTGCAGTTCGAAAAGGCCCATAACAAAATGCTGAACTTGAGCTCTAATGACAAAAATATGATGGACTTAGATTTGAATAAAAAAATCATTAAAATTAATTTATATTGTACTAACGCTTGTAAGTGAGGGAACGCATTTTGCAATAAATTCATGACGTATTCCCTCAAAAATCTCTGAGTCGTCATAGATGGATCTGTCACTTCGGCTGGATTAAACAACGGAGCTTGTACTGCGCCAGACTCCACAAGATTAATTATTCGTTGAAGCACAGAGCATTGCATTTTGAATCCTTTTAAGAATCAACAATAAGCTATAAATGATTAAAAATACAACATATGAAAAAATAATAACTACACGTACCACTTTTGTGATCTGTATCAGTCAAAACGAAAAATACATCTTGTAAAAGATTAAGGAAATACTGACTATAAAATAAATTTGCTGTCGCCGTATCTTGTAATGATATATTATTAATCAACTCTAAACAGATGTATAGACCAGTATCAGCGATATCACGCATCGTATGTTTGAAGGCCCACACAATACTATCCATTATAAGTTTGAACTGTGTTGGTGGTAAGGTTAACAAAGCTAAAAAGAAAGTTTTAGTGAAAATATATTGGGTAAACAAGAGATTATGAGCAATTAAATAATAATTCGCACCAGGAAAACAATGTTGATTGATAGCTCGAAGAAGTTTAAAGAATCCAACACGGTGTTCTGGATACTCTGCAAAATCTTTATTAATCATATTTAACGTGCATTCGAATACAGCATTAAGAATGGCTGGGACTTCATTTGTAATTCCAGCCTGTTAAAATTATCCGATCATACACTTAGTCATTACGAATTTAGAAATATAGAAACATATTAAATCGAACATTACCCCGAGCTTTGTAATTATAGTGGCCATTGAACTTAACACTTCAGCATCCCTAGCTTGTTCAACGTTGGTGTTATAATCAATTAGGACTGCGGATAGCAATGGTGGCATCAAGTGCGTTATGATTGTGCTTGTTTCTTCCGCTTTAGTTATATAAATCTCCATTAATTTAAGTGTCTCTTTCTTAATTACTCGTAAATTACGCACACGAGGAGTTTTTGTAGCAATTTGGCCTAACAAAATAATAAGACCAAAGTAAGGAACAGAATTTAAAAGTACATTAAATATCTAATTCTTACCTTCTCTGTCGACAGTGTCCGATATTATCTGACTGACAGCTTTGTACAATTCCAGTAAAGGTACATAAATACGGGCGATTTGAACGGAAAAGCCGCTACCAACAGCAGTACAAGCGGCAACGTTTGTTCTCAGCACATGACCCAGAATCTTGGTGTTTTCCGTAATATTAAGGGCATCCAAATCTTGACTTACTTGGGCCAATATACGATCCCACTAAAAAACATATATTTAAATTAATACAACATAAATTTCCGTGGTAATAAGTAATGAATTGTTGCATTATGTCTCATACCCCTGCGTTTGGTAGTTCCATATACATGACCACCAAACGTTCTTGAATCTGCTTTGTCTGTTGAGCTGAGATCATATAACCAACAGCTTCGTAAAATGTTTGAACCTATAACATATATTTATAGAATTAATTTTTAAACTATCGCTTACACCGTTTTACAAACAAATTTGACTGCAAAGGTCATAATTGATCCGTGATCAAGTTAACAAACTATATTAAATTGTAGTTTATATCACCGTTCATTTCAAGTTACGCTATGGTAATGGTACAGTATAATAGCTTACTTGTTGAGGAGACAAATCTTTTGTTATATTTTCAATAGTATTAAGAATCTCTTCTATGAAAGGACAACTTTCGCCTTGTTGTTGCGTAACGAACTGACGGCGACATTTTTGAGCAATTTTTATAAACGTGTCACAAGCCATATCTTGTACACCTACATATGACATCCCAAATTAAGAAAAAAATCGATAATATGATATATTTATTAATTTTTTATATATTTACCTTCATGCGTTTCGTGCATGAACTCAAAGAGTTTATTGACAACAGTCTTCAAAAACTTCCAGTGTGCTTTAAGAAAACGAGGATATTGACCAACGATATACATTATGTTGGAAGCAACCACAGCCTTATTGTCTTTTCCACGTTTTTGCTCACAAAGACCCAAAAGTTCTTTGATAACCGTTACCAAAAATCTTTTTTCCGTGTCCTCATCTATACAAGTTACGAAGTTAGATGAAGGATAATGAATGGTATAAAGCAAATCTCGGCTTTGATGGTGAGACAAATATTATTTGGTAGGATCATCATACTCATTGCACCGGATATGGATCCAATTGCCCAACAAAGTTTATTTAAGTTGTTCCAAGACCATTCACTTCCGTCAACCTTTCACGTATAATTATTGAATTACTATTTTGAAATCACATATCATCAAATAAAATTGACCACGAAATTTCACCTGCTTGTTTAGTTTGTTTGACATGATGCTCTCTGCATCTTGAACATCCAAATGCGTAAGATAAACTAAGCATTCGCGCATACTCTTATATAATGTGATTGTATCACTATCTTTCATGAATTCTCGAACAATTTCCCCTTCTTCATTCTCAACAATTAGAACCTATATAAAGTAGGAATAAAATTATTAAAATCGGAAGGTATAATTAATAGCATGAAATAAAATTATATACCTCTTCAGGTTTAACCATACGATCTATCATTATAACCCGTAAGGTGGACAATATTTCACTATACATATTCTTTCTCAGTGTAGTATTTGCAAGGGAGGATTGAGGAGGTATTGCACCAGACAGAGAAAGTAAAGGCATTTCAAGAACAGAAAGTTGCTGTGTTTCTTCGTATAATTCAGCAACCTATAATGCATCATCATCAATATCTTAATATATAAATATATAAATATAAATAAATAATATGCATATAAATATGTATAAACGATAGGCGTCTTACCAGCTTAGTCCAGTATTCTAAACATACTTTGAAGACTTCGCGTTCTTCGACTTGAGAGATTCTAAGAAGATAAAAATGAGCGGTCAAAAGACCGTTGCTGTTTGGTTGAGCTTCCATAATCTATATAACCAGATCAACATGATAAGTTATAAGTTATATGATAAGTTGTTAATGTTAATCATTATTCACAAACAAGCCTTGAAGCTTGTACCTTTAAGTGAGCACTCAAAAAGCTAGTTAAAAATAATGCCAGATTCTGAATAAATTCTTGTTCCTCATTGGAACTATTATTGTAAATCATTGCGAAATCTGTCAACAGAATAAATAATCAGAAAGTTTACAGTCGAAAGTCGAATAAATTCATTTCAAAAAATTAATAAATAAAATACCAGCTGACATTGGTATCATAGAGGTAAGTGATGCTACAACCATATTGAATAAAGAGACGAATTTATCATCATATTCATTGGTCACATTTAATGCACCAATCTCAGTGAGACATTTCAATGTCACGTTCCTATAATCGGAAGATTCTAAGAACTATACAAATATTAAATTGAACATTAAATTATTATTATTATTATTATTATTATTATTATTATACAAATTCAATTGTCAAAAAAAAAAAAAACCAAAATAAAAGCACCAACCCTAGTTCGCAAATTTTCAATAATGTTGGTCTCAAATATGTATCCTAACGGAATCCAATTTAAAAACCTCAATAACGTTTCTAACGTAGCTTTAATTAAAGATGGTTGATGCGCTCTCTCTAATACTTCATTACATAATTCAAATATTTTAGAAAATTCATGGCACATTTGAGTTTTCAAGTTCTTAGTTTTGAGTTGTGTCATCTGTTCAGCCGAATAGTCGAAAATTTCCTCACTATAACCGTAAAATAAAGACAAAATAATAAAATAAAAATAAAAAATAAAAAAAATAACAGATAATAAGACTGATAGCAAATTGAAAAATTATCATACTATCATTACCATACCTTAGTAGTTTAAGAATTGCCATGTTATTCTCACATATATTCAAGTTAGAACGTCCGGTGCTTACAATTTCGGGAATAAATTGTGGCCAATTATGAGGCCATTCTTGCTTAAGAATCTTCATAAAAAACGGATAATTTCTACATACATGAGCCACGAAGGAAAGCGAATAATACTTTAATGTTACAGTTGGTTACCTGCACCAAGATCAGATTAAGTTTATTTAGGTATGTCTTTTCTTTTCGAAGCGACTGTTCATTATCGGAAGTAGAAACAATGATATTCACGATGAAATTGCGAATGCCTTATTTTATATCGTTGGCAAAATATTAGCATCAGATTATACAGCACACGTCTAGAAAAGTAACATCAACCACAAACCCATTTGTTGTTCTGGAGGAAGGATTTTCCATCGTGTCTGTATGAGCTTTTCTAAGATTTGAAGAGCAAGATACTGAATTGATGGCAAAACAAATTGCTAAGTTAAAATTCAAGAGTCAATAAAAAATATAAAAGCATTCACACATATATATATAACCTTAGTATAAGAATATTTCGAGCGATCTAAGATAGCGTCAACTCTCAACCAAGCATCCGGATGTTCTTGAAACTGAGTAAGTACTTGTTGGGCCATTTGTTGCTGCAGACCAAAAGAATAAGTAAACCAGGAATCGATAAATTGACCGAAATAAAACGCGTTGGAAAAGCCGTAGTGCTAAAAAAGAAAAAAAATGCACGAAGTAGTTTGAACCTCGGGTCCGACGGCAGAATAAAAGGTCTTAACGACCATATCTAACTTGTCAACATCGAGATCCTGCGAGAAATCCAGTACACTCTAACCAGGAGTTTAATAAGGGAGAATTTAAACGCGTCAATTTTGAGGAGTTTCACACCACTTGATCAAATTCACAACTTTACCTCCATTACGATCGAGAACTTAAATTATCAAGAGTTGAAAACCAACGTTAAATACTTGCATAATGATCCGACCCATCTAAAAACCTTCCTTACCCGGTCACCTGACGGTTGACCTATAGATCACCTGGATAGGAATCGGGTCAGTTCAAAAGGCATCCGACTGGGTCACCTGATAGTCGAACTAGCTGCGGACATTTTAGTGATAGCATGTACGAGTTGTAATATATATTATGATCGGGAAATCCGACTAATTATTAGCACATAATCAACTTTGAATGTCCGGAAATTTTTTTTTTTTTATCTACATGAACCTTGCCAAATCAAAACCTGGAAATCTTATAGATATCGATATGATTTCAGTTGTCCATTTGATGAAAAAAGGGTAACACATGGAAGCGGGGGCTTTGCGTTATGATTTCATAAATTATATATCTTTGGTATTTTACGTAACCGAATATATGCCATACCAATTATAAGCTAGACCAAATAGATTTATTTAAATAACATAATTCTTGTAACGGTAACGCCTAAATTTTTTTTATTTAATAAATGTTTAATCGAACAGCAAATACAGTTACGTACGTATGTACGTACGTGTATCTTTTGGATCATATGTGCCGAGTAGCATGACACCAAAGTGGAGAGGACAAATAACGGTTGCTGACAAACCTTAGTTAGTGTTAAGAAGTACAAAATATACAGTTATTTGTCAAATATAATTTGTCATCAGCCTTTTGCTGACTAAATATTCAGCATATCAAGTGATGATCTAACTGAATTTTTGGCGGGAAAACGCCTTATTGGACCGGGGTTTTTTTCACTTAGTAATATTATAATCGATATTAGACTGGCGTCACTACGTACAAAAATTTCATTGTCACGTGGCAGCGAAATAGTGCACAAAAAAATCTTCTAGTTTGTTTAAATTAAACGTTAACAAGACATTAAGTAAAATTGTTCAGGAAAATTGTTTTGTTAGTGGTTTCTTATACAAAATTTTTGAGAAATAAGCGATTTTTGAAAAAACGAACGTTTTGCTTGATCATTCTGATCGTGTAATGTTAATAAAAGCGAGACCTACTATTGGATAAGTCATGTAATACTTACGTGACAGTGAAATTTGGTCAAATCCCAAATTCTATTTTGTTTCAAATTTTAAATTCTATTTCATTTCAAATTTCATCTTATTATCACAGGTCAAACAAATAAATAAAAGATAAATAAGTATATTAGCAGCATAACAGTAAATAATAATAAAATAACAGGAGATTTGTTAATATTGGTAATATAATTGTAACATGTTAGGTAGCAAGAACAACTTGAAACATTTTTTATGAACAAATTTGAAAGATACAATATAAAAAAATTAATGAGTAAAAAAAAATAATAAATAAAATGAAAGAAAAAAAAGAACTCAGAAAAAAAAATTTAAAAAAAGTTAGAAAATAATATTAAAGTTTGTCATAAAAGAAAAAAAATTTTTTTATTACAGACTTTAAGTAATCAGATAAGCAGTTTATTTTTGTTTAAAGTAATGAGACAGGTTGCACTTAGATATCATTTAAGTAACTGGATAATATTAGATTTAGTTATTAGGTACATTTAAATAGTTGTAAATATTTTTTTTTTTTTGGTATTAAGGTGAGGCCTTGCTTGTATCTTTATTAGTAGTTTAAAAATTAGTAGCTACATGGAACTGCTATATACAAAAAGTAATTTCTATATAAATGCTATGGCTAAAACCAACACTTGCTGTTAGGACTAAACCATTAAACTGCTAACTATATAGCTACTCTAAATACAAATAAAAAAAAAACTACATTCAAGAATAAAAGCTCAGACATATTTATCTGTGACCTAAATCTACTAGAGTGGTCAAGACTCATCTAGATTTGTAAGTTTAGAATATAGTTATAAGAAATATTGTATTTGATTCAAGAATGATCCAGATGTTAATTTTACAGATAGCATAGTCAGTAGGTAGGCAGGTATTAGAGTTAAAGTGTAGTTGGTCAGGTAGCCCACATAGACAAGAGTAAGTATAATTTTTGTGATTAGAGTTTTTTTTGTTATTTTGATTTAATTGAAATAAGGATTTGACATAAGATGGTTTAAGTCCTTTTGTTGTTTCCAGTTAGCAATGTTTATACAATATGGTTTCCATATTTGTTCATAAGAAAGTTCATTAACTTTATGCAGAATAGCAATAATTGTTTGTGAGACTAGTTTGTATGAAATGTTAAAGTTTTGTACAATCTCAATTAGAGATTTAGAGATAAGTTCTTTGAGTGTAATATCAAGATAATGTTGATTAGTTTGAAGAGATATAGAATAAAAGATGTAATGGTTACTGATTATATGAATAAGTTCTTCTTGTTGGTTTATAGATAAATCAAGGTCTGTGTGATTAATGTATTTGGATATGTTGATTTGGATAATATTGGAGATAAATAATGGGTTAGGAAATCAGCAAAATTGCAGTTAAAACTTTAGTATTGTAAAATGTATATGGGTAGGTTTTGTGAAAATGAAAGTAGATAGGAAGTTCATTTAATAAGATTTTAATTTTGAAAAATTTAAGGTAGTTGAGTTTAAAGTTAGATTATGAGTTGGTTTTTGGTTATAGTTAAAAAATAACCAAGTTGATCTTCAATCAATTTGGGAAACCAAGGCTTCTTATTTTGTGTTATATTTTTGGGAAGACCATATTGCTAGAATGTAGACTCTGCAGACATTTTTGGTAAAGCTTCTAGTTGGATGTATAATAAAATGTTGATCCTAAAAAATTATATGATATGGATTATAAATGCTTGTATAGTTAAAGTGTAATATAAATGATGAATTATGTTGTTTTGCTAGTGAGTCAGCTAAATTATTAAGGATTTTATTGAAGTGGGCTTGTACTTTGTGAAAGTTAATCTGGTAGTTATAAGATTTGATAATATGAAGCAGAGTATGCTATATAGCCATGAGCTGAATTTGAAAAGCTTGTTAAAGTTTAAAAAATTAGTATATATTTTTGAATATTTAGTAATTATAAACTGAAAATCAGTAAAGATATTGACTATTAAGTTGCAAGAGGAATTGAAACAGCTGAAAGAATTGATATTAGTTCAGCTTTGTAAGAAGATGATCAGTAATGGATTTTAGCTGAGAATTTGTGAATTATTTGGTTGAAATTATTAACTTGTACCCATCCAATACTTATTGTACATTGGTCTGTACTGATGTTAATTATAGAGCCATCAGTATAGAAGTTAAATGTATTTTGTGCTGTATTGGTAAGGGAATATTGTTTGAGTATATGTGTGGCTTCTTCTTGCTCAAAAATTTCTAATATAGGAGAGTCAGAAATATAGATAGTAGGGACAAAAGGTAGAGATAATAAATGTTTAATTGCAGTTGAATGAATTAGTTCAATATAGTTTGCATTAAAGTTGAGGGTATTAGAAGAAACTTTTCCAAGAAATTGGATAGAAATTATTGATGATACATTAATTGTATAGCAATTTGCAACTCTATGAGAGTTGAGGTAGCAACCTGTACAAGCTAAGCATTGAATTGATGTAAGGGGATAGTGAGTAGAGAGTTCTGTATTAATATTTGTTTTCCAGTATATAATAGAGATTTGGTTGTTATTTTTAAAATATTTGCGAATTTTGCTAATAATAATATCATTATTATTGTATATTAGTAATCAAGATTTAAGTTTTTTAGAGATGTGTTGAGAATTGTAAGCAAAAGGGTTGTGTTCAGTTTGTTGATATTGTGGAAGTAGTGTTCTAGAGCTGTTGTTAGTTGTTATAATGTTTTTTAGACATATAAACAAAGATGGCTTATGTCTTTTGGGTAGTTGTACTAAGCAAAATGAGAGATAATTCCATTAGAGTAGTATAGTATTATTTGCAGTGCAGAGTTGTTCAAGATGCAAGATATTAAGTTTTCTAAATTGTTTTTTGAAGGAAGTATATTGGAAATAGGAGGACATAATTGGTTCAAGTGATCGAAAATTGTATTGTACAGTATTAGGCCAGGATACATTATTATTAGCTGTTATAGACATATTAATGTGTATAAAAAGTTAAATAATTTTAAAGTTTAAAGTATGTCTGTTAGGTCCATCAATATTAGGTTTGGGGTGTTGTAATATATTTGTAGTTAACTAGAGATTATTTTGTAATTGTTGTAGAAGAATATGTATAGAAGTTTCTAGTAAATCAGTGTTGTTAATTCATAACATGAAGTTCGATATATGATGTTGAAGCTAAATATCCCAGATATTGTATATATTATATAAGAATGGGTTAAGCATAGTGCTGTTTGGAATGGAACAAGCTAAGTGAGATTTATGTTTGGCTATAATTAAATATTTGGCTAGAATTTTGTTGCATACAAAATGGGGAAGAACTATTTTATGAATTTAGTATTCTAGAGTAGGAATAATAACTGTGTTGATAATATCCCTTAAACTATAGACTATTTCCAAGCAAATTTGTCTAGAAAATTAACAAAAATATACTTATGATCTATATTTTTTAAATTTTAAAATATTTAAATTAAATTTTGTCTGATAATATTTAAAAATAAGAATTATAAAGGATGTGGTGACTTAGTGAAGTAGATAAGTTATCAACCCTCAAAGTGGTAGATTAGGAGTTCAAAACCCACTAATAGCAAAAATTTGAAAAAACCACCTATGTGATATTGGTGTATATA